CACCTGAACAACACCCGCGCGCGTGCTGTCTCACAGGAACCGCCCAAGCCTGCCAGGCCCTCACCGACATGCGACAAGCCTGGCGGCAGGAGCCAGCCGACAGCAAAGGCTGCCGCTGACAAGAACACCAAGGTAAGCCTCCTTTCCTTGTGCCTTACACTGGCATTCGGACCGTTGTGCTCCTACAGAGGACGACTTGCGCCCAACATCCGAACCGCACTCTGCAGCAGGCCCCGCCGAAGCAGACCCGCAACAAGGATAAGCCTACAGCTCCATCTCCTGCTGCAGCACACAGCTCGGGCCGCAAGCTGCCGCCGGCCACCGCCAAGCCCGCCGCCGGGCGCAGCCGGATGCGCAGCGACATTGTAAGTAGTCTGCCACCCAGGGGCGCTGGAAGCTACAACTAGAGAACTTTTCTTGACCACCTTGTTGCAGTGTTTCTATCTTCCCTCCAGGGCGATCGTGGAACCCCACGATAAGTGACGTTTTAGGCCCAATATTTTCGACAGCCCTCACGGTCGACCCCTGAAATGTTTCGTATACGATCCGGGGCCTCCCAAGGGCCTATTTTTTCGAAAACCGTTTTCGAAAAGGGGCTGCTAGGTTTTCGTGCCTTGACCAGCGGTACTACATCAGCCTAATGGAAGGGCCCAATTCACGACGTGCCCGTACCCTAAAGTGTAGTGCAGCGCTTCTGCTAGCCTTAACCCTGTGCTCTCTTGGGGGAGGGTCTCCCCCCCACCGACCTACTCACGCGTGAGTAGGTCGGTTTTCCCCCCCGACCTACTCACGCGCCCACGGTGGTTACTTTTGTGCTGGTGGTGTGCCGTCAGCCACTAGAAGTGGAAAGACTTTCCCCCTCATCACCCCACTTACCTTGGCCGTGAAGGATCCCGGCTGCTGCTAGCTAAACCCAACGGTAATTGCGACCCGCACCACCACGGTTATCATGCTAGGGTCCGCCAACGCTTTTCCTTACAAGGCAGCCTGGCAGCAGGGGCGACAGCCGATTGTTGTAAGCATTGCATGCTTTTGCACTTGGCGTGGTGTCGATTAAGACACGCGTTCTGGGCGTCGTTGTAACGCTCACAGCATTCAGCGTTTGCCCACCTGAAAGACGCATACGTCCACATTTGCGCCCAGCCTTTATTTAGAACTTCTTAAACATTGCTTGTTTGCTGCAGAATATCAAGCCGCATGCAAATCGCATGACATAAATGTTCCCGCCAAACCACAAGTAAGGCTATTCTGTGTTCGCAGTTGCAAACTAATGTTGTAATGGACAAGCTTATTACAGTAAGGTTGAACACAAAAGCTAATAGTCATTGCCGGCGTGTAATTCATGGTCGCAGTTCTTGCATGTACGACACCCTTGGTATGCCAGCCAAGACTAGAGGTATTCCCCCAAGAACCAGGTTGGTCTTGGCCTCTGCGGTGCTCGACAATGAAGCAAGGGGAGCCACATCAATGCAGCACTTTGCACTACTGCACTGTCTGCGCCTTAGAAGACCCCTGGGACCATTCTGCTCCCAGGGGCCCCCCGCATGCAGGACTGCCATGTAAGAGTGTTAACGGATGTCCCCCTACATCTTCATTACTTCACAGCTTTGGTTAGAAAGGAACAATAAGGTATAGGTAGCAGTATACGTGCATTGGCCATGTGTGGCGTAGAAGTTCCATGTACCCAACCAGCTAACATATGGGAGGTAGGTCAGGGGTGCAGCAAGTTGGTAACAAGTTGCCTTACTTGTTTTTCCCTAGTGGGGGTTGTGCAATGTTCCCGATACTCGTGCGGTGTATGTGCCCAAACCCTGCCATGCACAAGCTACCCCTCCTAACTTTTAGCATGGTTTGGCTCAGCCAGGTTCCCGTTATGCCGCTCTAGCCATAACCATAACAACAAAAGGTTGAGCCCACAAAACCAGGTATCTGTGCCCTGTCTGTGCCATTGGAGGCTGGGAAAAACTGAATTGGGCAGGCTCGGCGCGTGCCTCCGGCTCCGGGTTTCGGACCGTGAGGCAAAAATGTGAGCGTCGATCCCACGATCTCGAGCATGTTTGGCAAAGTTTCATCGTAAGGCTCTACGATTACCAGCCCTGAAAAAGCTCAAAGAACGTTGACGATTTTGGTCATTTTTTGCCTTATGAAATGTGCCATTTTCAGAATTTTTTCGAAAAAACGAAGTAAGATAGAAACGCTGCCTTGTTGCTTAATTTTGCCACGCAGACGGAGGACAAGGTGGCTTGCCTCATTGACGCACGCTACAATGAGCCCAAGAATACCAAGGAGGTGCAGCTCAAGATGCGTCCTTCTGGCAAAATCTCTTGGGTGGCCATCAACCGCTTTGACCAGGACTATTACCTCTCGACTGTGTCCTCCTTCCTGGACCAGGTGCGCCCAGCCCCATCCGACATCCCCAATGCTACAAGGCGTTACATTTGCACCAGCACCTGACCTGACTACAACATGTGCTGCCACCGCCCATGCTTGCAGAAATGCCCACAGCCGATGCACGAGGACACCACGCCCAAGACCCCCCCAAAGGTGACTTGCTCACCATTGCCAGAGCTGCAAGCCCCTTGTTGCCTTTACCGCTCCTACATCAGCCACCTTCTGTCGCTCTCCTTACAGGTACCGGCTGTTGGGCAGAAGCGCACGGCCACGGCCAGCACGCCAATCTCGGGCCGGCCAGACACAAAGCGCTCAGCCCAGGTGGGGAGGGTCATAAAGGAGCGGAACGATCTGCCTTGCCTGCCATCCGTCTTTCCGTCCATGTCCCACCTGTGCAACACTGCAGCCATGCACCTTGCCAGGCGCTGCACAGCCATTCCAATCAACACCGCTTAGGCGGCCCAGGCCAACCCAGCCAGTCCCCCCACCCCACCCCACCCCACCCCACCCCCCCCCACACACGCACGCCCTGAAACACCCTTGACCCGAACCCCCCCCCCCGCCCCCAGGAAGCTGCTAAGCATGTGCACCTGCGCAGCTCCCTGGACGAGGTGGACGCTGCCAAGCTGCACACCAATGGCCGCGAGCTGCATGTCACCATCCAAGCCTACGTACGTGCGGTCAAGACCTACGACTCCAAGACCTCCAAAAAGTTTACGCGCCTGGTTGTTGGCGACCTGGATGACTCCACGACCTCCATTGATGTCTTGGCGCTGGGTGCTGACAACGCACGCCACCTAGCAGACATCATGGACAACTGGAAGGTTCTCATTGTCAACCCCGTTGTCAAGTAAGCACTGTAATGGTGAATGCGGCTTGGGTTTCCTTTGCTCCTTGCCTGGCCCCACCAGCCATGCCCTATACCTCATAACCTACTGCATCCACCCCCCCCCCCCCCCACGGCCCACCACATATTACATATCCCTCACTTTGGCCACTGTTGCCTGCCACCTGCCCTGCCCCAGGAGGGATGACGCTGACAAATTCAGCCTGTCCAAGAACCCCTTGACCCTGCATGTCAAGGATGCCAAGTCCCAAATCATCCCCAAGCACCCCCTCCTGCCGGTGCCCCTCACGGACATGGCCCTCTGCAAGGATGGCACTGTCCCCCATGACCACCTTGTCAACATCCTTGGTACGAACTCGGCCTCGTGTTAGGTGTGAGCAGCAATACTCATGCACCCCGCTCCAATGAACCCTGTCCCTGCTTCCAGCCCACCCTGTACAGGCCATGCCGCAACAGCCGTCCCTAACAACTCAAATGCCTCTTTTGCCAACCGCCCCTCTCCTTTCATACCCCCTGCCACAGCGGCTGTCCAAGGGACTTCTCACCTCCAAAGACGTCCAGGGCCGCGCCACGCAGATGCGGGAGCTCACCCTGGTCGCCCCTGACAACGACGCCTCCATCTGCACATCCACCCACAGCATCTCCATGTCGCTATGGGGGTAAGTTCGCAATGGGACCCCTCCGCCACCTTGCCCACTACTCATAACAATTGCATGTGCCCCCCAACGACAACTCACGCCTGCTCCTGGACTTTAGTTAGGGCTAGGAATGCCATTGACGTGACTGTAAGCACCTTGTCATCATCAAACCCACTGCTTCAAAGATGCCACCACCGGCGCCTGATGCATGCAGAGCTTGCGTTTGGGGTTCACTAGAGTGTGCACATGCAGCCAGCGGAGCTGCCTTTCCTCGGCCCCGCTCTTTTCTGTGCTGCTGCTGCTGCTGCTGCTGCCGCTGCTGCTACGCACGGCCATGCCGACCCATTCTCCTCCCTTCCTTACACCACCCTCAGGGACCATGCGAAGCAGGCCTGGCAGGAAGGCCAAGTGCTCCTCATCACCAACGCCGCCATGCGCATCTACCGCACAAATGGAACCATCCAGTACTCCCTTACCTCCCGCGCCCTCACCAGCATCGTGGAGGCCAAGGAACCCCTGGCGTCCGAGTCCGCCATCGGCAGCACCAGGTTTGCGTTCACGGTAAGCCCAACAACATGGGCGCCCCTCCGCATTGCCTGTTTACCCCCAACCCCCTCCCGGCTTGATGCTGCATATGCCTTGCTCCTACCTCGCCCACCTACCCTGCCCTCGCCTGACTCACCCTGTCCTTTGCCACACCCACCGGCAGTGTGCCGGCCCGCAAGACAACAACTGCCCTGCTCACACCCTGACGGAGGCCATCACCGCGGCGCTGCACCACCCACTCCGACGTGTACATGTTAGCGACTTGCGGGTGCAGCTTAAGGCCCTGCGCAATGTGAACCACCCGTTTGCCTACCTGTGCACTGAGCCAATCCCCCCAAGCAGCGCCCCGTGTGGCAAGTACCCCGTGGTGGCGGCTGGGCCAACCTACACGTAAGCTACCTACTGCATGCCTAATAGGCCGCCACGCCAAGAGCAGTCTTCCCTGCCACCCTCCTTTCCCTACCCTTGCTGTTGTGCCCCCTTGGCAACTTCGTCAATCCGTGCCCTCAATCAATGCCGCTTCCCTGCTTCCAACCCCCCTCTCCCCAGGTGCTCCATCCACGGCAAGCTTAAAAAGGCGCCAGAGACGTACAACACGTACGACCTCAGTGCCACCACCGAGGCCTGTGAGGTCGATGGCACCGCCTACCAGGTTGACCTGCACTTCATTGACGAGGCGCTGCACGCCTACCTTGGGATTCCAGCGATCAAGGCCAGCGCCATCATGCTGGATAGCCGCCGCAGGTTCAACAAGCTTGTGCTGACCCCCCTGCTGGACATGTCTGACGGCACACTCGCCCTCACTGATGCCACCCTCCGCGCGTGAGTGGGGCACAACACCTGCTGCCCTGACTTCCTCGCACCGATAGATCCCCACCGCCTGCTTACCTTGCTCCCCGCTGCGCCTGCTGCTTGGCGCGCTTCTACGGGGCTACAGACCACGCCCTCCGAACCTGACCGCCCACCATCCATTGCAACCCGCTCCACTCTGACCCCCGCGCCAACCCCACCTTGCCCCTATCCATGCAGGGGCCAAAAGCATGTCTTCATCACCATCCGCGCCTTCCATAAGATTGAGGATCCAAGCGAAGACATGTGCGACGATGGCAACGCTCCGGACAGCCCCAACGGAAGCGCGCCCTCTGACACCACTGGCGACGGCGCTGAGGCCTCTGATGCAGTCGCCTCGGAGGACGAGGCATCCACATGCAGTCGTGACGGCAGTGGGGAGGACAGTGAGGAGGGGGGTGGGGCTGCTTCAGGGTCTGAGGATGAGGATGTGCCCACGGGCAGCGATGTGGAGGAATCTGCTGACCACGAGGATGACGGAACGGGCTCCGATGGGGAGGATGAGGGAGACGATGGCACGGATAACACCAGCGATGACTCGGATGAGGGTGGCAGCGAGGGCAACTGAGACCTAGGACCGCGCGTCAGGTACTGTGCACGCCACCGATACCCCCGGGCTGCCAACGCAATTGCGACCCTCCTTATTGGCAAGACGACTTGACCCTAAGGCCGCAAACGCCAGGCTTGACGGTGCAATGAGCCCATTGGCCCTGTGTTGGCCTGCCGCTCCACGATGTAAACGCCTCCCTCATGTGTCCCTACAACGCTGCCAACCAACCCTCCCAAACGGGACGCTCATGTGACACTCTCCTAAGCAGCCACGTCAGCCCCCCCACGTCAGCCGCCCTCGTAAACGGCCGCAAAAACCCACCCAATCACGCACCCCGACGCACCGTCAGCCCGACATGCCAGCTACACAACCATTGGGGCAGGCCATGAGATCGCTTCGGTCTGATCCTTGTAATTTGGCAGTATCTTTGATATCCGCTAATGTGTTTGCTTGGCTTGTCTGCTTACCCGTCTACTCAGGCCACTTGGCCAGCAGTAGTCTGACGGCTGCCACATACAGACACCTGGGCGTGTATTCCTTGCACTGTTGAACCTTCAGTGTGCATAGACATGTCTCATACCCACTCTTATTCGCGCACTGTCTTTGGAATGAGCCGTAGGTGAATGCCGCGCTGCATATGAATCACTCAAACAAACATTGTATGCTTCCGCTTTGGGTGGTGACTGAAGTAATGACGGGAAACAGAACATGCCTAAATAAAGTGCAGAGGAGGCGTCATGGCAAGAAGTAATGGGTTTCTATTACTCTAAGCTCTGCCATTTCTGTGCACTTGGACGGTCCTGCGGCTGTTGGTGCAATGCCGTATGAAGCTGGTACACAGGCTTTAGGCCGAACCCAAGTTAAGTCACAAGGTATAAATCCTTGTCCTAAAAACACACTTTCAGGCGAGGTAACAATGTGTCGAGTGGGCTAATAACTTTCAGACCAACACGGGGCCTTTGCAACGAGATATAAACCGATGGAATTGTGCCTATGAAAACGGCTCTCTACAAAAGTACAATAGTGGCATTTTGCTTTGGGCGTCCGACTTGCTGCCATAACTGAGCATCAGCGGCTCTTGCGTGCACACTTCTGAATTGCACACGCTTGCGGTAGGAACAGCCCATTGAGAATGCCAGGAAGGGAGGAATGGAGCAACATGGGTCTCGGCGGTGGAGAGTTCAGTGCAGATTCCACAAACAAGCTTTCAGATGGTAGGCAACTGCTGCTTCACCGCCACGTGGCTAGCCATCATGCTATATATAGGGCTACTATCCACATCTCATGCGCATGCTCCTGAGCTGCACAAGCCGCAGTGGATGTAAGCTCGGGTTACTGGTAGCCTAGGAGCTTGTGTCATTCCCAGGTGAGGTCACCCCCCTTTAGCGGTGGCTGACATTTTGCTCCTAGTGAATGGTCTTGTTGCAAACCACACTATAATGATTGGGGCTGACGGATACCCCTAGCCGGCCAGTAACCTGCGCTTACACCCAATGTGTCTCATGTGAAAGGCACATGCAATAATTAATTACATCGGGCTTGCCCTGGCGTGACTCAAGGGGGCGGGCTGTGGTGAAGGTTGACGGGTTCCCCCTCCACTGTACATCCTTCACCACATGTACAGCAATGGAGTAGTAGCTAGTGGTATTTTGGTGGGCGTTGGCCTCCTGGGTCTTCTTGGGGGAGGACTCGTTCCATCCGCCTTCGGTGCCTCACTATGGCGTTGAGAAAGCTGACAGCATTGTCATGCAGCTCATCATCACAGCATGCATGTGCGGTGAGTGTGTTGACACCCAGGGCAAGTAGGAGTGGGTGCAGATACTTGTGTAATGTTTAACTGAATAAAGGCACATGCACTTAAGCTTGGCCAGACGGTGGCTGGCTGTGTGGGAGCGGTTAGCCAACACTTGCGAGCTATTAAATGAAAGGGCTGCTGTCAATTATACACTGCTTGCACACTGAACTCTGCACCTACCACAGCGACCCCTTGACAACCCTACCCAACAAGATTATTACAGGGTCAGACCCCAATCACATTTACATACCGTCTGCTAATTAACGCACGATTGATAAGGATCCCGGAGTGAAGGGTACCCTGGAAGACATCACAAAAACCGCACCGACTTCTGCGCCTACCATGGTGAATAATGTGCAGCCAGCCACGCAAACACACACACGCACACACACACACACGCACACACACACGCACACACACACACACACACACACACACACACACACACACACACACACACACACACACACACACACACACACACACACACACACACACACACACACACACACACACACACACACACACACACACCTTGCATCACAGACACAGCTAGAGAAGAAGGGGCATACATAACATGCATGACAGGTAGGCATACTTTCATCCTATTGTATAGCATCAATGTCTCGCCCACAGCGCAACATACATTTGCTGGCTGAGCAAGGACCAACATAGGCAATCTGTGCAGCACATCCCCCCCCACCGGCCCTACACCATCAGGCACCCCCCAAAAGTGTTTTCTCAGGGTAGGGAGTCCCGTATGTTGTTTTCACTTCACTGCCATTGCACCCGCGATGCGCATGAGGATGGGATCATGCGTTTTTGGGCGACTTTTGGGGGGCCGGACTTGGTTTCGTAGGATGCAACCTCTTCATAAACGTCCATTTGTCACCATAGACATCAACACCAAAGGTGGTTCGCTATAGTCTAGGCGGTTAGGATACGAGATTCTCACTCTCGAGACCCGGGTTCGAGTCCCGGTAGCGAAACTTTTTCTAGTGTAGACAAGAGCAGACAGCCCGGCAATGCCGGGGCAATGGGGTCGTCATCGTATAGTGGTTAGTATCCACGCCTGTCAACCAAAAACTGCCCGCGGGAGGCCGGGGTTCGATTCCCCGTGACGGCGTTTTGCGCTTTTTCCTTGTAATTTGGCAGTATCTTTGATATCCGCTAATGTGTTTGCTTGGCTTGTCTGCTTACCCGTCTACTCAGGCCACTTGGCCAGCAGTAGTCTGACGGCTGCCACATACAGACACCTGGGCGTGTATTCCTTGCACTGTTGAACCTTCAGTGTGCATAGACATGTCTCATACCCACTCTTATTCGCGCACTGTCTTTGGAATGAGCCGTAGGTGAATGCCGCGCTGCATATGAATCACTCAAACAAACATTGTATGCTTCTGCTTTGGGTGGTGACTGAAGTAATGACGGGAAACAGAACATGCCTAAATAAAGTGCAGAGGAGGCGTCATGGCAAGAAGTAATGGGTTTCTATTACTCTAAGCTCTGCCATTTCTGTGCACTTGGACGGTCCTGCGGCTGTTGGTGCAATGCCGTATGAAGCTGGTACACAGGCTTTAGGCCGAACCCAAGTTAAGTCACAAGGTATTAAATCCTTGTCCTAAAAACACACTTTCAGGCGAGGTAACAATGTGTCGAGTGGGCTAATAACTTTCAGACCAACACGGGGCCTTTGCAACGAGATAAAAACCGATGGAATTGTGCCTATGAAAACGGCTCTCTACAAAAGTACAATAGTGGCATTTTGCTTTGGGCGTCCGACTTGCTGCCATAACTGAGCATCAGCGGCTCTTGCGTGCACACTTCTGAATTGCACACGCTTGCGGTAGGAACAGCCCATTGAGAATGCCAGGAATGGAGGAATGGAGCAACATGGGTCTCGGCGGTGGAGAGTTCAGTGCAGATTCCACAAACAAGCTTTCAGATGGTAGGCAACTGCTGCTTCACCGCCACGTGGCTAGCCATCATGCTATATATAGGGCTACTATCCACATCTCATGCGCATGCTCCTGAGCTGCACAAGCCGCAGTGGATGTAAGCTCGGGTTACTGGTAGCCTAGGAGCTTGTGTCATTCCCAGGTGAGGTCACCCCCCTTTAGCGGTGGCTGACATTTTGCTCCTAGTGAATGGTCTTGTTGCAAACCACACTACTATAATGATTGGGGCTGACGGATACCCCTAGCCGGCCAGTAACCTGCGCTTACACCCAATGTGTCTCATGTGAAAGGCACATGCAATAATTAATTACACCGGGCTTGCCCTGGCGTGCCTCAAGGGGGCGGGCTGTGGTGAAGGTTGACGGGTTCCCCCTCCACTGTACATCCTTCACCACATGTACAGCAATGGAGTAGTAGCTAGTGGTATTTTGGTGGGCGTTGACCTCCTGGGTCTTCTTGGGGGAGGACTCGTTCCATCCGCCTTCGGTGCCTCACTATGGCGTTGAGAAAGCTGACAGCATTGTCATGCAGCTCATCATCACAGCATGCATGTGCGGTGAGTGTGTTGACACCCAGGGCAAGTAGGAGTGGGTGCAGATACTTGCGTAATGTTTAACTGAATAAAGGCACATGCACTTAAGCTTGGCCAGACGGTGGCTGGCTGTGTGGGAGCGGTGAGCCAACACTTGCGAGCTATTAAATGAAAGGGCTGCTGTCGATTATACACTGCTTGCACACTGAACTCTGCACCTACCACAGCGACCCCTTGACAACCCTACCCAACAAGATTATTACAGGGTCAGACCCCAATCACATTTACATACCGTCTGCTAATTAACGCACGATTGATAAGGATCCCGGAGTGAAGGGTACCCTGGAAGACATCACAAAAACCGCACCGACTTCTGTGCCTACCATGGTGAATAATGTGCAGCCAGCCACGCGCACACACACACGAGTGGGCTAATATCTT